CTCCCGAATGTGCTTTAATAAAAGAATCTGCAAGCTCAGCAAAAGAATTTATAGAATTTTAAGATAAAAGAGAATACCAGGTTAATGCACCCTTGGTGAGTGTTTCTCCAAATTTCTTGACCAGTACTGATTCAATTTCTTGTTTGGTCAAGTCGTTGCCTTTTACGCATGTTGTAAATGCAGCACGTGGTCACGTGGTCACGTGGGTCTGTAGTACAATCATATTTCGAGATGTCAGGCATTTTGAACTTTTTCAGAATTGGAAGGGGAGCAACACTTGGCTTCCAAGGTTGTTGTGAGTATTTGTCCATGTCAACTCCTTTTTTTACAGGCGGAACTCCAGAGATTTGCTCAATACGTTCATTTTGTTCCTTAATCTGTTTCTGCAAGGTTAGTACTAAATTTTACAAATATGAATTATTTGAATTACCTGGTCCCCCTTCCTGTGGTTCACTGGTGGTTCTTCCATTTCCAGAATTAACAAGACCAGAACGGGGATTCTCTAATGTATTATTATTAGGAGTTGGTGTGGGTGGTGCAGCAGGCAATCGACTAACTAGAGCCTGAAGAGCTTTGCCGACCTGTGCATCAATTAGCTTTTGTAAAGTTTCATTTGTACCACCTTCAAAGTGTTCAGATAGTTCTTGTTGATCAGCACGAGATTCAGGAGTGCCTTCACGAGATTGACGTGGTGAATTTTGAGGGGAGGGAACCACTTCAATCTTATGTAAATCTCCTTGATTTTGATGGATTTGATTTTCAGGGTTTCCCAAAGTGTTTACATTGTTATTGTTGGTGTTGTTGTTTGACATGGTGATAACAATGAACAAGATGTAGCTTAAAAGAAAAGATTATCAGAGTCCCGACGACGGAACCAATTTGTTTAACCAAAAATCTGAGTCTTTGGTCAAAGCTATAAAGAAATTCGGGTTACTGATAATCAGGAGACGAAAATAAAATATTTTTGAGAATGATGGTAAANTTATAGTTGATTCTAGGAGAAGATATAATGTCTTTGTCTTAATGAGGCAATTATGAGCAATAAATGATATTTAAAAGAAATGTTACACAATCATTTCTATTTAATTCAGATTCTCTAACGTATTTGACATTTAATGCTGTATTTAGACTCTTTTACGTCATCAGATTCGTGTTTTCAACTTCTTCTGATCTTTGATCTTTAAACGACTCGAATAGGTACGAGACTCGTACCTATTTTAGTAACGGTCCACACCTATGTTGCTTTCTTTTTCCCCTATCTGTTGTCGCCCGTGCCTCTTGGCTATTTATTGCGTTTTGACCTTTTGACCAGTCCACGTGTCATGACACGTCATCTTCAATATTCTGACTCAGTTTTTTCCCAATACAATCATGAGCACTAACTTTGTTTTTTAAGAACATTGTTATCAATTTCTAATCATACGTACAGCTAAATAAAAAAGAGTGATATTAATCTCATTTTTTATGTTTTTAGTACTACACTAATTATTTCAGACATGATATTCAAAAAGACGTCCGTACTACTACTAGTCAGATCTCAAAGTAAAGATCAAAGAGGAAATTAAAATGGAAGGATCTCACAATTACATCTCTTGGAAAAACACGTACACTAAGTCCATTATATTCATAGATCAGTGCTGCCAAACATTAAATTCTGTTGGACTACAATGATTAACAAGAATGGTGCAAAAATTTAAGCTAAGATTTAATTAATATAACTTCATCGTGTCAACTATACTTCTTCACTATAACAAAATTTTGGTGTTTGACCTATATATAGCCAAATCCTTGTATATTTACAAGATTGTGTTATAATTAAAGTGCCAGAACATTAAGAAACGAAACTCTACTTTGGATCAATTTCTTGTACAAGCTTTGTAATCCAGCCTCAAATCCCTCGATGCTCATATCAAGCGTCTGTAATCTCCTTCGTGCAACGTTGCCATCAACCTTGGTTTCATTGTTCTTAATATGTTGGCGAAGAGAGTCAAGAGCTATATCAACACTGCCCATGTCACTGAAAATTTGGCCACCTTGAGAAGAAGCTGATGATTTGGTGATCATCAACTTTGAAATCATTAACCACCCTCTAGGCTTTATTTTTGTATCTTGGTATGACAAAAATACCAACAGGGCCTTAAACACAGATGTAGTAACAACTGTTACTTCTCTTAGCACTCGAATTACCATCGATAAGTGTTGTTCAATGTCCCAGAAAACAGAAGATCCAACTCTGTTTTCCATTTGCTTCAATCTCCTCAAGTTCTTTACTATCTCCTTCTTCATGTTCTTCCTGAAGTTAAGATAATTGCTAATATCCTTCTCAATGCTTGAATCTGCACCTTTTCGTCGTAAAGCTGACTGAAGATGTTGCATTTGTTCCTTAATCATACAAAATAAGTTTCTAATAGTGTCACATGACTCAAGTAACTCAAGAGATCCCTCTAGTGCCTCTTCTACTATGGCCCCATTTTGATGTTGGGCAAGAGCTTTTTGTGTGTTTGAACACTGAATTAGTTCCTGCACACAATTGTATAATTGTACAAGCCCAAGAACTCCAGCCTGAATTGTCTCTGCACTATGGGACGACGTTTCGAGGTTTTTCAGCTTGTCTAATTCAGCTTCAATTTTTAGTCCATTAGGATTTAACCTGGAAGGCAAGCTAATGGACCTAACAGGACAAGGTAAATTTTTAGACTTAGCCATTGGTTTTTTGAAGAAAGGTTTAGTTGATTTTTGAGGTGAAGCTTGGATGTAACAATGATTCAAGAATGTACTTATAGGGACATGACCTTTTTGTATAATTAATTTGCATGTGACAACAACGTAGGCAATCAAATATTTTTTTAGTAATCTTGTTACATCATTTACCAACAATATGCAATTATTTTACAATTTTATATCCTGCATCTTATGGCCTCAGAATTAGCAACGTTTTCGCATTCATTACTAAATTGAACGAATTCTGAATTCAATCATTGACTACAGAGTGCGCTAGAGCTGCATATGCCTTGGTTCCTCACAACAATTTTCTGCAAGATTCCCTTCTTTTGGATTTTAATCGTATCTTTGAAATAAGCCTTTTTTAACATACATAGGGAAAGGTTGATGTTTCTAGACATTATTAATCCATAGAGAATCAGGAAAATGCATTGAACCCATTGTCGTTTCTTAATTTCTAACAAATTTGGATTGGTTAAACAGCCTAGGGTTGAATTGAGAAAGAGCTAGACGTAGGGTTTTAGGTGAACAAGAATCATTTAATTAGCTGGAAAACATTTTGATTACAAGAATTACTCTATATATTTTGAATGGGTAATCGGTTGTGTTTTGGGTAGACAAAGAATAACTTTAGGTTGTATGTACGTAATTATCGTATCTTGAAAATTGAGCTAGGTTTAAAAAGATTATGGAGCACATGAATAAATAAAGATTTGGTATGGAGGAGGGCAGCGACTTGTTGGGTAACAAATGCAACAGAGAAAGATTAAACATTTGTTTTTTAATTCATGCTTCTGTCAGTGAATTAATTTGCCATTAATTCAGCTTTACCTCACTAGAGTACATCAAATTAGTGTTACTTCTAAATTTAGAGTTAGTGAATGAATTAGAATGAATGAGATCCAATATATAAACAACAACAACAAAAATAAAAAATAAAAAATCCAATTTGCAAATAGAGAAGGTGTTTTCGATAGACCCCGACTTAGGTCAGCAAACTCGCAACAATAAAGCAAAAGAAATATAGTGATGAAAAAATCATGAAAAAAGCAGTAACAAAACCGAAACAGAAGCAACACCAGATAGTAATATATATTTATATATTTAAATTTCTTTTGCATGCATATCGGTGATTCGAGCTGAGAGTAATATCTTTAGTTAAATACTTGAATTTGCTTAACTGTTCTTAAATTTGCGTCTAGTAAGAAATAAGATGAGAGGGACCAAGACACCCCATTGGCACAGAGGTACACTGAAACCTAGGATAATTAACAAAACATGTGATAACAGTGTCAGAAAATACAGAGAATAGAACCTTATCCATGAATGTACATACTGCAGTTTTGAATTTCTACAGAATTCTGCAAAGGAAACCAAGAGACAATCAAGCAGATTTCTTGTTCGCAATTTCTATCAAGGCAAGAGACATTAACATGTGACTGAGAGTCATAAGCACTCTCCCACTAAAGTGGAAATCTCAATCGGAAATTCATGAAATGGAGCAATACAGGATAATGTAGCCTATTCTGTAACCCGGCTCAATCTAATCGATTTACAAAATGTGGGCCATTTTTGTCATTTTACGGACATAATTCAACTTTCATTGAAAATCTCGTCAATAAAATGATCAAAAACCGTTTGCATCTACTTTAAAATTGATGTAAACTTAGTTGAGACCATTTTTGTTGGCCGGCCCGTTCTATTAATTTGACTTATATGTTACTTAAGGTAATAGTCAGAAGTTAAGTTTAGACATAAAATATCATGTCAAAACTTAGTTTAATCAGCCAAATCATTTTGGTTTCCAAGAAACTTGTACAAAATAATATTGCAAGTAAAATGGCTCTGAAATTGCTAAGCTTGTGCCTGGTAAACTGAGAAGGATATAGTAAATGTGCTATAGGAGCAAGCTCAATCATGTTTTAGTTTGCTCCTAGGGAAAATGCTGAGGGTTTCCATTTGTATGTCATCCCTTCAAATCTACTTACCTTCTGATCCATATGGCTACATACAGTGAACATTCAATTGAAACAAGCAACTCGCAGATACGATATCTTGTCTCACCCAAGTAATATATAAGACAGGGAGAAGCAGGAAATTTCAGACACAAAGAGCTACAACAATGCAATTTTGCAAGCAACATCCACAATTATCCTAAGCAACAGAGATCCAAATTGGACAATTTAACAGAGCTAAAATCGACTCCCCTGCTTCATTTCAGAAATGACACGGAGCATACAGAAACTGATGATGGTCTGTCGATCTATTCAATCAGCTTCATATCAGGATCCTTCTCAGGATAAAGGTTGTTTGTGGTTTCAATCTCTGATAGCACATATTCAAAAACAAGATGGTTTCTGAATTTAGTGTGCTAGGTGTACTCAGATTTCGACACAATTAGCAAAGTCAATATTGAAAAAGTTAATTAAGTTTCAAGTCAGATAAGCTGAGGCCTTGTGCCTTAAAATGTTGGTTCAACATCTTGGGATCACTTCCAGCAACTCTAACTCTTTCCATAATTAATCAGCTCCTTACTAACCCAGCTATTAACCTCATTAGACTATGAAGGAACCAGCTTACATTTGAAAGCACATCTCTTGAATGCCTATAGTGTATACCCAACTTCCGTTCATATGCTTCTAAAATCTAAACAAGTGCACAAGTGGCTAAGGTGTAAGTAAAAGCTATGAAATGCTTCCGAAAAACACAGGGAGAACAGAATGCTGTCAGATAATCTAAGCTTTAACGGCTGAGAAGTCATTCATTCAATCAATCGCTCTGCGTTTATGCCAGGCCAAAACTAATTGACACAGAGAGCCACTGTTCACATAATTCAAATGATTATTAAACCAGCATGGCTGACATGAAAGAGTAAAGATACAGAGTGTTTCAAAAGAATAAACTTTTGCTGGTTAAAAACTAGCACAATTCAGGTAAACACGAAAACTATGAAGAGGCAAAAGGATAGGAAAATCATGTTAAAAAAGGTATAAAAAGGCCAAAAAGACTTTTACTTCAGTGTTTGAGAAATTTCAGGACCCAAACTACTAATGACATATGTCAAGAGCCAGATCCCTAGGAACATAACAGTCTTGGGTACACAACTACATGTGTTTATATTGGCCTCTATTTCTTTCCCACACAAACAGAAAACAACATCATGTTGAAGTTTGCCTTTTTCATCTTCGTAGCTGCAAGGATAAAGCACCAAACATTTCTAGATGCTAAGATGGCCTTAGATTTTACAAACTGATGACAATATGGGTTTCAGCTCAGCAGTATACTGTATACAAAGAGAAATTTAGTGTAAATTTTCTAAATAATTTGGAAAATAGTAAATGTTCCATCACTCTCCCAGCTTGATAAATCCTAGTGATATGTAAAATTAGTTCCAACACATAACTCCAGCCATATGAACAACTAATTTTTTTTATTGGTGCCATATGTACAATTAATTCAAACGCTCTCCTGTGTATTTCTTAATATGAAAAAAGTACATAAAAGGGATCAAATGACAACACGTAAATTCTCTAAGAAAGAACAAAAATGCCCATGAATAAGTAAAACACTTCATATGAATCAGGATACCAGCAATGGGGGTCAAATGACAAGTCCCTGTTCTCTAGCTTTCTTAAGCCACTTCAACGTGCTCTCCAACGTAGTATAAGCAGCAACATCTGTCAAACTCTTGCTCTCTACTGCATAATCAAAAACTTCATAAGCTTCTGCTACTCTGCCATTCCTACAGAGCGCTCTGAGAAACGTCCCATATGACCCTGTCTCAAGCTTCATACCATTCTTCTTCATAACATCATACAGTTCCATCCCCTTATCCAACAACCTTGCCTTACATAACCCATGAAGCAACGTATTATATGTACACGAATTAGGAGCACAGCCCCGTGCTTCCATTCTCTCCAACAAAGCCAGCGCTCCTAATGGATCTCCTTCCCTACACATCCCATTCATTAACGAAGTATACGTTACTGCATCCGGAATATGGCCCTCCTCCATCATAACACTCAAAAACTTCTTAGCATCTTTCACCCTTCCCGACTTCGACAATCCATAGATCAATGTATTATATGTCACAAGGTCAGGCTTCACTCCTTCCTCCTGCATTTTCTTGTATACACTTAACACTTCACCCCCTTGACTTAACATACAATAACCCTTCATGATTGTATTAAAAACATAGCAATCAGGCTTATATCCTTCCTCACTCAACACCCCCAACAATCGAGTCGCCTCCCTGAGATTCTTACTGTTACATACATTATCGATCATAATAGTATAAGTAACAAGATCAGGCTTTATATCAAAACCCTCCCTCATTTCTTTAATAAAGCTATTCATATTACTCAAAGACCTGTTCTTGCATAGGTGCCTGACAATAAAATTGTAAGTATAGGTATCAGGTGGAGAGTCTTTAGAGGAAAGTTCTTTCACCAGCTCAATGGCTTGCTCTTCACGGTTCGAAGAGCAAAGGGTCCTCACAGCAATGTCTGTGGAGACCTTATTTGGTGGGAAACCATTGGAAGTCATGAGATTGAGAACCTGATGAACAGGGGATAAAGAATTGTCAACTGACTTGCAAGATTGGATGAGGAGAACATGGTATGTATATCTGTCTGGAGAAAAGGGTGGGTGAGTCTTGATCATGTGATTGAGGAAAAAGATTGAATCTTGGAGAGTAGAATTGGAGGAAAATGATTGGAGTATTGAATTATAAAACTTAGTGTCTGAAGGTACATTTTGGGGATTGGAAATGAGGGAATTGAAAAGGGTTTTAGCATCAGAAAGAGTTGTTGAATCAAAGGCTACAATAGATGGAAGCTGGGGTTGTTGAGTAATTGATGTGGGTTTTTTCTTGGGTGAATGTGATTTTTTGGGGAAATAATGGGGTTTTGAGGTAGGGGGTTGGGATGGAGATGGGATTTTTTGGTGAGGAACAGAAGAAGATGGAGTTTTAATGAGAGTGTTTACAGCAAAGTTAGCTGACCTTAAGGAAGGTGGTAGTTTCCCCATCTTCTCTGAGCTTGTTGTTCAGATTCTTTCAGTTTTTTCCTTCTGGTAAAGGACTAGATTAGGGTTCTGCAAGGGTTTAGCATTTTGAGCTTCTGTCGGTACAGTATGTATGCCAAGGGAGAGAACTACGCACTCACGCAGTACAGATTTGGGTGTCTTTCTTGGGAGACAAAAGAAGCCCAGAGATTAGAAAAGGCCCTTTGGACTGCAAACAGCCCATTTCGACTAAGAAGCCTGCAAAAGGGCCTCCTGGACATGGGAGATTTGCGCAAATAGCATACTTTGATGCCACTATTTATTTGTAAAAATTGCACGGGACGTCCTATTTCGTCGCCCTCATTTAACCTATATCCATTTTTTTAAAATTTTTTAACTTGTACCCACTTTTTAAACAACTTCAGCTCTCTTTCTCCTCCTCCTTCTCCTCCTTCATTTTCTTTTTTCTTCTTCTACAACGATGACTTCAACATTGCTTTCTTTGATTAATAAAGCTAAAGCAAATATACTGAGGACTTCCATTTGGATTATTACAACATTAAAAACCAGTTTCCTCATTGTCTGGAAACACAACTCCGTCATGAAGAAGTGAACGTTGTAAAAGGTTTGGAACTCCTTATCCATGTTCTAGAATTGTCAAAGTAACTGGTAGTACTAGTTTTTCTTTCTTTCTTTTGTGGGATTTTGTAAAATTCTTTTTAGCTATCACAGAATTTTCATATGGACTACCATTTTCAGTGCAGGTGCAAAAGTTCTCTTCTTTTTGTCCATTTCGAAGTTTTCGATAACTCCAAATTCCAATAAATGGATTGAATTGGGATTCCCAAGTTACAAAGACAAAAACTTCAGCTCTACAACTGAAGTTTCCCAGTTACAACACAAAAGCTTCAGCTCTAGAGCTGAAGTCCCAGTTACAACACAAAAATTTTAGCTCTAGAGGTAAAGTTCGCCAGTTACAAAACAAAAACTTCAGCTTTAGAGCTGAACTTCAGGCCCGACTACTAGATTGCTGAAGTTTTGCGTGATTGTCTTTGCTACTTCAGCCCCGTGTGTTGAAGTTATGCGAAAAAGCGGGTACGTTTGCAATTTTTTTTGCAAAGCGGGCACAAGTTAAAATGTGACACAAAAAGCGGGTATAGATGCAAATGCCCCTATTTATTTTTGGAATTTTTACCTCCTATAGCAAAGGCTACCACCTTATCTATTTTAAATAAATACTATTTAAAAAAATTATATTCTATAGATACCTTTTAAGGTTTATAGCAAAATATTTAATTTTGGTTACCTCTTAACCCTAAGCCACTAAATACGCTATTCAGTCATACTATTTCTTTCTCTCTCTACTTTGATACATCCCATTCTCTTCCCCCATTCCCTGAAAATATGATGCTCAATCTCAAAATTCTCTCACCCACACTATTTTCTTTTCATTCCGATCAATTCTTGCACCGAATATTGAATTGCGATTTAAAAGCAAATCAAATCCCTAACCAAACAAAGAAACAACCGATGTCATGAACTATGAAGCACCTTAGATAGCAAAGAGAAGAAAGAGAATTAATTCAATCTGAGCACCGACAAAATATAAAGCCTTGGATAGAAATAGAGAAACAGAGAACTATGAAGAACCTTAGATAGCAAAGAGAAGAAAGAGAATTAATTCAATCTGACCACCGACAAAATATAAAGCCTTGGATACAACGACCGATGGAGCAGCGGCGATGGAACAGCGGACGACCGAGATTGAATCTGTTGGGTAGCAGGTAATGAAAAAAGGTGTCGCGTGTTGTACCTTCAAATCTTAAAGGTGTCGCGTGTTGTACCTTCAAACGTTGCTACGACGGATTCGCCGGAAATTAGGGTTTGTTCTTGAACAAAGACGACAGAGCTTGGGGTTGAGCAACTTGATTTTCTGTTAATATATTTCAATGTATTTTCATGTATTTCATTATATTCATTGTCTTTTTTTCGTTGTAATTCAATGTATCTCGTTGTATTCTATGTATTTCATTGTATTCACTATCTTTTTTCCATTGTATTTCAATGTATCTCGCTGTATTCTATGTATTTCATTGTATTCACTATCTCGCTATATACCATGAATGTATTCATATTTTTTTTTAATTAATATAATTTATGTATTCAAATGTATTATATAATTTCTCTGAAGGTTGCTATGTTTTTGGGGTATTTTTCGGTTGAGAATCTTTTTTATAACTGAAAATACAAATTTTGTGTGTTATAATTGAGTTATATTAGGAGTCTATTATGTTAGTTGATTCACTTTCCGTTTTAAAAACAGTATAATCCCCTATTTCACGCCGTGAATACAGTCGAATACAATAATCTGTCCAGCTGTAATCCCATGTTTCACTCCATGAATGCAGTTGAATACGCTCGAATACAACAACTGATTAGCTGGACTTCCATGATTCACGCCTATTTTTGCTATTGTATTCATGAATACAATAGATTAAATATATCAAATACATCTTATAACCACAAAAAATGTATCTATAATCTGTAATATAGCAAATGGTATCTATAGATGACTAATTACTACTAAAAAAAATAGTATTTTATGAAAATTTCCCTTTATTTTTTGACCTTGATAAGAAAACATTGGGAAAAGAACCTCTACTCGAATTTTGGAAACCGCTTCTAGACAAAAAGATTATATAGTGATCATCAAGATTTGCTATAAAACATGGTAAATTGCCATAACTTTTCATATGGTGGTCACTAGAATTTGCCATGCCGGAAACTTTCATCGTAATCATTAGGGTCCGCAAAACATTGCATTCTCCAAAATAATTCTGGTGACATGCTTTAAAATTTTGGCAGCGGGTAGTTACCAACGCATTTCTTAACAGTGTCAAAGTATAAAAGGTTGTACTTTATATCTGTCGTCCATGTAATTAAAAGGATTCCGTTTTATGGTCATTGTGGATATATACTTGTGCTCTTATTAGATTGCTTTTCATAGCGAAATAAAAGAAATAGTACTGATGATTAATTTTGATAATACATTTCTCACCATTCACCAGGCCGCATTGATGATTAACTCATTCTCATATGCAAGACAAGAAACAGGAAGAGAACATGCATGAAACACAAAATACACTGGAGAGTATATATATATTATTCACCACCACGAACTCTTTTTTACGTTTACTCTTAGCTTGGATGAGCCAAACTTTATTATTTATATTTATACCTCATGATGCCACACACGATAGACGGTAGTAGTACATAGATAGACGGTTGGAACTTATTTCTATATATATATATATATATATATATATATATATATATATACTATAACTTATTAGCAGACTTTAAGGTATCTACTGCCCAAAAGGCCTTTGTTTAGCACAGTCCAAATTGTTGCCAGCGTCTCCAAGAATCTCACAGTATCTCCTGTAGAACCCAATTCTGTTTTCCATATTTTGATTAGAACCTTTTCCACATTCAATTCCTCCATTGATGGTGTTGGTGATTAAACCATAGCCAGGGACACGACCAGCAGATGAATCAGCTCCTGATGGTCTCCATTTACCAGTAATGACGTCGTGGGCCGATGGCTTTGGTTGCTGCGGTGTCATCCAGAACCACAACGCTGTCTTGAATGAAACCACGGCGTTATTTGCAACTGCATCTGGATTCTTTAACAAATCCACTCCTATGGCTTTTCCAGCTGGTCCATAGTTGTAGTTACTACATGTCATAATATTGATAGTTGACTACAAGAAAATCATGTATTACATGGGAATTTTGTTGGGATTACGTAAGAAAGTTAGTAGGAAAGTAAGTTTCATGCGAATTTTCCTTCTGAAAAAATTTCGATGGAAAAACCTTTGTAGGTAACTATTATCTACTAATTGTAGAAATCCCTGGTAGTTTACTTGGGATTTTAAGTCCGCATAAAAATTAACTGGGTTTTAAATTCAAATATAAATTACCTACGAATTTTTCCATACGAAATTCTAGATATTCGCATGAAAGTTTTGGTAAAAAATTACTGGAACTTGGGGTTTTTCTTGCGGAGTTTTGTAGGGAAATAACTGCAAGTCCATCCCCATGAAAATTCCCCAGTGCATGTGCCGAAATTTTTAGACGAAAAATTTAGAATTGCTATATTTTTATATAAAGTCAACTCTCCTATATATGTATATTTTATATATAATATATAAGATATTCCCCACCTACAGACAAGATATATACTACAGTATCCAATCATATCATTTATGATGAAAAAGTAAAGTACTAAAAAACCTTCCCTAAATATATATAGTAACCCACCCTGCATATTTGAGGTTTTCTCAAGCCTTACCTGGGAAGTTATTTCTAGATGCTTAGCATATAAAGTGCAAACATTTACAATTCTTGGGCGATGTGGGACAAGAATATCCCACTACCGCTTCCCCATGTAGTACCATTTACTTACTAATGCTTACCTCTTATTTATTTATTTATTTATTTTGTTTTGTAAGAGGATGCATTAAGTAAGGAATCCATAAATCAAATGACTCTTTTCCAAGTAATAGCAAAATATATTTATATTACTTTCAAATTTAGGTATCCTTAGTTATTTTTCAAATTTTCATTTATATTTTTCGAATGACATATTAGTTTTTTTTAATATAAAAAATACATTAATTAACAAGAATTAAATACATTATACATGATAATTAGTAAGAATTATTTCACTAATCCTAATAAAATATATGTGATTAAATTATTTTAATAATGGTAGAATTTGATCAAGAGATGTTGTTAGAAAGTAGAGTTATAAGATCATTCGATATTAAGTTTCAATACTAACATTCTCAAACTATATCATTTTATATATGCTATAATTGAATTTTATGTAATCAAATACATGTGAAAAAATGACACAATAAAACTTAGTTGAATTATGCTTAGAAATTAAACTTAAATCACTACTAGAAATTTGGCAAAAATCGATCACAGTCGATCGACCAAAGTTGGTCGGTTTTTCAAAATATATTTTTTTTACGAAACCGATCAACTTTTCTTTGGCGCAAAAATGCGGGAAACTATTATTGAGTCCCACAAAATTTATTTTTCAAAAAATCGACCAACTTTGGCTGATTTTTCATTTAAAAGAAATTAAAA